ATATACATCCTGCAAAGTTTCAATAAAAATTTCCAAGTTTTTCTTACAATTTCCGTGGTTTTTATTCAATTTTTTCCGATATCAATATTTCCTGCGATATTTCCGTGTTTTTTGACTTCTGATATTTCCGATACCTCCAATATTTAAGACCTTGATCCGTAGTATGTTTATTAGTATTGAACTTTGGCGCCCATACAACAAAGAAGTTAAATGCCAAGCAAGTTTGTTTCCTTTTTGTGTTTTTTTCAAAAGGACGTTCTAACTGTTACCCAAAAAAGAAAAGGAAAAAAATAAATCTTTTCTTTTATTTATTTATTTTTATAAACCCTTTTTCATTTTTCAAACCCCAGCAAAACCGGGAGAGGCCAGTGGCAGTGACTATATACCGCCCAAAACCCACGAAGCTCAACAATGCCAAAACCAATAGAGAGATTGAAACAGTCTCTCTTGTTAATTCCGCTCTGTGTGAACTAACATATTCGAAGTTTCCCTCAGCACCTGGACCCGGACCCAAGCAACGACAAGCAGCATTGCTCCAGCCATGGAATCAAGAGACAAAGCCTCGCCTCCACCAAAGCCCGCCAAGTTCTCAGTGTACCAGAACCCATCCTTGTCCGCCGCCCTCACCGCCAATAGCCTCCGGCCTTCGATGCATGCACTCCTCTGCATCTTCTTTCTCTCCTCCGCCTCCGCCGTCGCCTTCATTGCCATGTTTTCCAGGTACCCAATTGCTCAATTTGAAAAGCTAGGGTTTTAAAAGGGTTTAAGCGAAGATTTTATTTATTGGGTTCTTTTGTGTGTGTTTAATATGAGAATTTCGCTCTGTTTGATTGTTGAGAAAAGGAAGAAAGAAAGAATGGGGATAGAAGATTGAGTTGAATTTATCAGTGTTTGGTTTCTGGGAAACAAAAACCCTTTATTACTTGCTATGAAAGTGTATAAAAGGAAGAAGGAAAAACAAAAACATAAAAAGACTTCAAATTTATAGTTTGGAGCTTATTTTTCGTTTGGTTTTTTTTTGGGTCCTTTTAAGACCTGAATGAACAAGCTAAATTTGCATAGCATGTTTGAGCTATTTATTGACCAACAGGAAATTCAAGGATTTAATTATTCATATTAAGTTTTTGTTATTTATTAAAGAACGAATTTAAATTAGAAGAATGTGTTTTTAGATCTTTGGTTATGGAAATTGGATTTGGCTATATATTATTACATGTGGCTAACGCAATAAACTGCCTTGAATTGTTGAAGGGAAAATGGGCTTGTTGACAATTTGAAGCTCAAAAATCTTTCCCAAGAGGCAGCCTGTAAGTTGTTAAATTCAATCCAGAAAACTTTGATTGGCTTGAACTTGATGCTTTGATTGATATAGTTTGTTTTGAACATCCTGTTTTGTCCTTCAGATTTGTTTTCCAAAGCGATACAGACCTTTGTGGGCTTAGTATTTTTGGGAACTCTATTTGCACTATTTAGAGCCATCTCACTGAGAAATGCCGCACCCTCAAAAGGAAATAGTGACAAACCACGCCTTACAAATCGTCAACTAGGACTTTTGGGAATTAAGCCAAAGGTTGAGCAAGTAGTATCTGAGTCTTCAAAGAAACCTCCCAAGTCTAAACCCCACATGTCTTCCCCTTCAGATGTACTTGTTCCACTTCATCAGCCAATCACCAGTTCAAATCGTTTGTCTCGAATCAGCGCGAATAAGTCAAACATCAGTGGAGGAACTAAGATGGGATCTATCAGTAGCCCTTCTAAATCACCCAGTTCTACATCTTCTTTGTATCTTGTGTCGGGAGGTGTTTCTCCACTGTCTTCTGTTCAGAATTCACCTGGAGTAGATTCAGTGGTCTCCACCCCTTGGTCAAGCAAGCGAGCATCTACAAGAGAGATAATGTCAGAAGAAAAGTTTGAAAGGTTCTTGGCAGAGGTTGATGAAAAAATCACAGAATCAGCGGGGAAACTGGCAACTCCACCACCCACCATTAGAGGCTTTAGTGCAGCCAGTCCAAGTTCAGCTAACACATCTGGAACTACTAGGAGTACACCATTGAGGCCTGTGAGGATGTCTCCAGGTTCTCAGAAGTTCACAACTCCCCCAAAGAAAGGAGAGGGCGAGCTTCCTCCACCTATGTCCATGGAAGAATCTATTCATGCATTTGAACGTTTGGGCATCTATCCTCAAATTGAGCAGTGGCGTGACAGCCTCAGGCAATGGTTTTCTTCGGTTTTGCTTAATCCTCTACTTGACAAGATTGAAACCAGTCATATTCAGGTTTGTCTGCACCACATCCACCTCCTAAGTCATCTTCTTTGTCTTCATATGTTTAACATGAGCTATGGCTGCTTTGTGGTTGGTAAAAGAGTGTTATGTTTCAACTGCAGAGCAAAAATCTGATGGCATGATATGTGTAGTAGTGCAAGTTTCTGTATATAGTGCATTCCATCAATACTAAGCCAGTATAAAATTATTAAATTTATAGGTAATCCAAGCAGCTGCCAAACTTGGGATGTCAATTTCAATTAGTCAAGTTGGAAGTGATTTACCAACTGCTAGAACTGCTACAGTGTCTTCAAATGATAGGACTAAGGAATGGCAGCCAACATTAACTCTTGATGAAGATGGACTTATGCATCAATTACGAGCTACTCTCGTCCAGGCTATTGATGCTTCGGCCTGTAAGTGCTCTTCACTTTTGAACATATTTCATTTAAAACTCTTTTTGGATTGTTTTAGCAAAAGATATGTGCTGATGTTTTAATGCAATGCTTCTCATCATATGCAGCCAAGCTGCCTCAAGCCAATCTGCAACAAACCCCACAGCAGAATCCATTGGTCCCTATTATGCAGGAGTGTGTGGATGCAATCACTGAACACCAGAGGCTTCAGGCATTGATGAAGGGAGAGTTAGTTAAAGGTCTTCTACCGCAAAGCAGCATTCGAGCAGAATATACAGTACAAAGGATTCAAGGTGCTTAAAATCTTGATTTTTCACTATGTATCACCTTATGCAGGCGTCTCATGTAGGATATCTAGGGGAATAGTTTTCAGATTGTGGGTATGTAGTGAGTTCTGAATAATGGGAGTTTTTGAAATTAGGATTTGACTATTTAAGAAAGATTGATTAACCTGAATTAACTCATCCCAGTAGATTTCTTGGATCACTCCTAAGATAGAAGACCACACTTTCTAGGGTTTGAGACAGCTCAAGTGGCTGCAAACCAAAATCAATCTTCATTTGGTGTACGCATTACAAAGCTTATATAGGTATCTGCCATGACTTGACCTTAATACAGTAATCTAAACCCCTGAAATAAAACAAATCTAATGGTTATATTTAATAAAACATAATCAAAAGACAATTTTTATTAAATGGGCCCACAATAAAATACCAAATTTTTGTTAAATGAACTATACATACTCAAATTAAAATACTATGAACAGTAGCTTGCAGTAAAAATAAAAAGTCCCATGTCAGGCCGATCAGAACTATCCACCAAATTTCAAGGGCTTATTTTTACCAGTCTATTCATGAGAGTAATTAGGTTATGTTAATGGGAAATATATATTATATGTATATCCTTTGCCTCTGTAATCTAAACTTGGTTTCTCCCTGGGGAGTTTAACAGAGCTTGCTGAAGGAACCTGTTTGAAGAATTATGAATATCTTGGAAGTGGAGAAGTATATGATAAAAAGCACAATAAGTGGACGCTTGAGCTGCCAACTGATTCTCACTTGCTCTTGTATTTGTTCTGTGCTTTCCTGGAGCATCCAAAGTGGATGTTGCATGTGGATCCTGCATCCTATGCTGAAGCTCGTTCTAGCAAAAATCCCCTATTCTTGGGAGTCCTACCTCCAAAAGAAAGGTTTCCTGAGAAGTACATAGCTGTCGTATCTGGTGTCCCTTCTGCTCTCCACCCTGGAGCGTCTGTACTTGTTGTTGGAAGGCAAAGCCCCCCAGTTTTTGCCTTGTATTGGGATAAGAAATTGCAGTTTTCTCTTCAGGTAAGTACTTACCACTTGCCACACTTATGCCAAATTAATTTTCTCTAGATTGCTGGTTGTCCAATCTTTATTGTGCCTGCAGTATTGTTTTTCACTCGCGTCTGTACATCTTAAAATATTGATTGTGGCAACAATTACAAAATCCCTGGAAATGGGATATGCTGTTGTATTGGTTAAATTGACAAAGAAGTTTCATCTTTAATTCAGGGAATGACGGCACTGTGGGATTCGATTTTGCTTCTGTGCCACAGGCTTAAGGTTGAATATGGGGGGATTGTTCGGGGAATGCATCTTAGTTCTTCAGCCCTGAGCATCCTCCCTGTTCTGGAATCAGAAGCTGAGGACTGACTGAACCAAAATATCCCCTTGCGATTGCCTTCTTATTGCATACATCATCAACAGGTCCCCTGAACCAGCATATCAACAGTTCATCAAGGAATTTGTTTCATTGCTGAACTTGCCAGATGGGGTAGGATCTTTTCTTCCTGATATGAGGACTGTTCAAAGGAAAGGTTCCATTTGACGGGTTAGGATTATTCTGGAGATGATTGACTTGGACTATCCTGAAGATTATTCTGCCTTTCTGCAGATCCAGTATCTCCCTAGTCTTAAGTTAAGGGTCCATTTGGATGGGATAATGTAGAAGAACGATTTGGATTTTGACAATATGAATAGGTTAGTTTTAAAAAAAGACACTGGAAACACTAATTTGTAACTTGAATTACTAGTACAACCTAATATTTTCGAGTTCGGACTAAACAAGTCATTTGTAATGCCATTTCTTCTTTTTCTTCGTATAAAATTGAATTGTTATTACCATTATATAGTTAAATTGCGTAATTGGACTATTACTGTCAATCCATATATTAACATGCAATTTCCTTCAACGGATATGCCAATAACAATTAGACGAAAAGAAAATAAAAAAAAGATATGCCGATAACAATCTTTCTTATAAAGAATGTCTTTAACAAGTTGCCCGCCTAGCTCAGTTGGTAGAGCGCGAGGCTCTTGACCTTGGTATTCAGAGTCCAAATCTAAAACCTCGACTCTAACTCGACAGTTTTTCCTTCATTTGAACATGGTGAGCAAGCCAAATACAACAGTCCATGGCGAGGCTGAGTTTCAAGGGACATCCCCTTCTCTACTTTGTAACTCAAATTCCAACTCAAGCCCTCTGCTTTTCTTCATCTTCTTCGTTGTCTTCAGCACCCACCCAGATCAAGCATCCAAGGCACTTGGCCTCTATCTTGCTCAAAAACCCAACAAGTCGCTCAGCCACCCAACAAATCCACGCTCACATTCTCACTTCTGGCTTTCTCCTCCATCACTCCATTTCCACTGCCCATCTTCTCCTCTTCAACACTTTGCTTCGTTGTTATTCCTTTGGCCCCTTCCCTCGTGAAGCTTTCACTTTCTATAAACACCAACATTTCTCCCTTTCCTTCGACTCCTTCACCTACTCCTTCCTTCTCCACGCCTCCATTGCCTTAAACTCCACCAACCCAGGTGCCCAAATCCATGCCCTCACTCACAAACTCGGTTTCCATTTCCATGTCTATGTTCAAACTGCCTTGCTTAATATGTATGCTGCATGTGGCTCTTTGCTCCTTGCTCTCCACGTGTTCTACGAAATGCCTGATAGGAATTATGTCACTTGGAATGTCATGATAACTGGTTTGGCGAAATGGGGTGAGCTTCAATTGGCTCGGTCTCTCTTTGATCAGATGCCAGCCCCTACTGTTGTGTCCTGTACTGCCATTATTGACGCGTACTCACGTAAAAATCAGCCCCGTGATGCTGTTGCTTTGTTTCGAAGAATGGTTGTTGAAGATCACGTTGAACCTACTGAGGTTACACTTTTGGCCATATTTCCAGCTGTTTCGGTTCTTGGAGCTCTTAAAATTTGTCAATCACTTCATGCTTACGGTGAGAAGAGAGGATTTAATGCATCTGACATACGTGTCACCAATTCCCTATTGGATTCTTATGCAAAATGTGGCTGCATAGATAGTGCATCGAGATTGTTTGAGGAGATACCTGTTGAGAGGAAGAATTTGGTGTCATGGACATCCATAATCTCTGGGTTTGCAATGCATGGAATGGGGAAAGAAGCAGTCGAGTATTTTAATAGTATGGAGAAAGTTGGTCTCAACCCGAATCGAGTGACATTCTTGAGTATTTTCAATGCTTGTAGTCATGGAGGATTAATTGATGAGGGGCTGAACTTCTTTGGGAATATGGTCGACGAGTATGAAATTGCACTGGATATCAAGCACTATGGATGCTTAATAGATATGCTAGGGAGGGCAGGGAGATTAGAAGAGGCAGAAAATATGGCTTTGGAGATTCCTTCCAATATCGTTAATGTTGTGATTTGGAGGACGCTGTTGGGTGCTTGTAGCTTTCATGGTAATGTGGAGATGGGTGAGAGGGTGACAAAGAAGATACTGGAGATGGAGAGAGGATATGGCGGTGACTACGTGCTTATGTCCAACATCTTTGCTGGGGTTGGAAGGTTTAGCGATGCCGAGAGAATGAGAAGCTTGCTGGATGAGAGGAATGCCTTCAAACTTCCAGGGCATAGTTTGGTCTAACTGGTGGTGAAGATGGGCAACTATGATGGTTGCCTGAGATTATGAATGCCTGATGATTTCTAGATAATCTTAAGTTTGAGAAAACAAGGCCAAGATCCTGTGAACAAGCCTCTGAGGTCAGCAGTAGCTATGTAATTAATGCTCATAGAACACATGGTGGTTAAAATTCAGTTTCTTCTTGAGCTCTGGCTGGTCCAGTAGGGAGTGAAAGACATTCCCATGGTGTTAGATGATATGATCTAGCATTTGAGATTGCAGAATTATGGGTTTGCAGTTGAAATGGACATTCAGAATACTCTTGACTGCAAGAATGCGGAAGATAGCTGGTGTCTGAGAGAGTGAATGAGTTAGTGTCTTTATACTGCACATGGAAAAATGTACAAGGAAAGATGACATTCATTTTTTCTTTCATCGATATTCTTCAGTGGAAATTAGAGCAAAATGAAACTTATATCCCAAGGCACTCATTGGTACATTCTCCTTTGAGTCTCTTGGTTATTCTAGTCTTTGATGCCTTGTTATCAGCCTGATCCTAACATTTCTGATGTCCTCAAATGGAGGCCTTCTTCTGCTGGTTCCAATTACCACTGCTTCCACTCGGAATAAAAAGTGCGTTGAATAAAAGCATGTTAATGGCTTCTGCAAGTGGATGCAGTTGAAGGGCCAATTTCCAAGTAGACCCTTCTCGCCTCATTTCAAGCTCAATCGCACAATCATCTTTTCTTCTTCTTCTTCACTCTTTCTCACATCAATTCAGAAACTTAAGAACTCGTTATAAGAAGCAACTACCGTTAGGAAATGTTAATAAAAAATGTAAAAGACCCCCTTTTCCCCAATTCTTGATCAGCCAAGGTACTGCTCTCTTAGGCTTAGGCTGTTTTCGGACTTTAGATGTAAACAATCTGTAACCAGAGTAGTAATAGGCACTAAGAAGAAGAAAAAAGTTTGAGAAAGGGTGTTAATGACAGCAGGTATGGAAAACATCAATGAAGAGAGAGAAAACATAAGGAGATTGTTAATTAAAATGTTATTTAATTATTTAATTATTTAATAAATGAGAATTAATCTCAACCATTCAATACATTCTAATCTAATGGTTAAAAAATTGTTTTAAAAATTGTGTAAAAAATGTAGTGCTACGGATCCGCCCCCTATATATATACACTGCACGCAGGCTCCTCTAATGCTTCACAAATTGTCGAATTTCATCTCTACCTTTTTGCATTCCATAAGGATTGCTCTCGCTGAATACATTTCGACTTCCTCCTACTTTGTGCATCTTCTTCTGGAACTTTGATGCACTGCTGTTTAAGTTCAAATTCACCTTGGGAAGACTTGAAAAGCAAAATGAAGCTGTGACCGCCTGTAGGTCCAAGTCCAACAGCACTTTGCAATTAATTGGCAGAATAAATGCTGATACATAACCATGCTACATTTCATATTTTGACATCCCAACAACAACAGCAGAGATTAAAAGAAATAATTTCCTTTACAATATCAAGAAAAAGTTTGGGTACCTGCAGATCGAGACAGTGAATGTTAAAGATATCCTTCATAGAGTTTGAATTATATGCTAATGGATAAGATTTATATGCTTCTTTTGCCGCTTGGCGCAGAAAGTAGTTGCCCTCAACCATCTTCTCCTGCATCAGTCACGGCAATACATAAGGTTCCTCGGAACCAGTTATTGTGTAGTAATAGGTAACAATTGAAGCCTGAAAACAGGAAATTACCAGTTGAGACTGCACATTTTTCAGCTTATTCTTATTAATTTGTTGCTCTTCACCGGGGACCTTTTCAGCCTGAAAACAGAATAAAATAAAGAATTGAAATGGAGAACAAGCACCGCATGTAGCAACCTAAAAAAAAGTGATTGGCACTTGCTCTAAATACAGACACCCTTCCGGAAAGCATGGCACTTTTGTTGTGTGTGTGTGGGGGTGCGGGTGCTGGGGTTTCGTTGCTCCTGTTTATTTTTTCTTCTTGACTAAATCATACCTTCAAATAGCGAATAAATTGCATCTCTTCGGGTATGAGGAAAAGAAATGCCTTTCCTTTTCCACCTTGCCCTCGAGCTGTTCGACCAACCCTGTGGATATATTCCTGCACGCAGATATCCCATTGTTGTGAAAGCGTTTAAGAATAGGAAAAAGAAACAGAACTCGGGAATGGATATATTCTTCATGCTACAAAATGGATATAGAAGAACTACTTGATACAAAAATTAGTTGAAATGTGTCAGTAAAGAGGGGAAATTAGACACCTTGGGATCATCTGGAGGATCAAACCGCTCAATCACGTCCTACAAGCTAAGAAAAAACAAGCATTAGATTTACCACGAGCATTCGCTTATTGTGATACTGCTATAATGTGACAAAGAAGTGTATTGGCATAACATGATGTTCAAAAAAAGGTTAGGGAAATTGCAAAATGAAAGAGGGAGCATACCACAGCAGGAATATCCAGGCCACGAGCAGCAACATCAGTACAGAGTAAGATTCCTTTCTCTGTTTTGCAGAAGTCAAAAAAAGTTTTTGTCCTCCTCTGCTGCTTTTGCTTTCCATGGATATCAAAGCAATCCACATTAACTTATCTAAGAAGGTCAGAGTGGAATTTGACTGAGTTACAAGAAGAGAAGAAGACCATCACTTTCTTAGACTGAGTCGCCAGCAGAAAAGAATATAGGAGAATAAATCTCTCCTCACTCGGCACAATAAAATAGCCTTGTTTCAGCCCTTCATTGGTGACCTGTATATATTGCACACAATGTCAGATTTTAGAGATTAGGGTTAAATCAAAACGAGAAGAAAAAACATATATTTATATAAGAATATGAAGTCGATTTAATTTCAAAATAGACATGATGAACACAAAATAAATGTAAAAGGAGGAATACATAAAACCAGATGGATTCCTACCTTAGTTCTCCCACCATCGACATCAATCAAGTGATGTTCTTTCAACAACAATCTAGCAAGATCTTGAACCTACAGGTTTAATGGGAAAAGTATTTTCAGAGCAAGGGAATCATGGGAACACACACAGACGCGTAGACTCAAGGCATTAAAAGTAAGTGAACTATTGAACTGTGCATAGCATATCAATTTATGCTAAAGAGATTTAAAAACAATGTAGAAAGCAAGAGACTGAGGCACAAACCTTCGTAGTTTGGGTTGCTGAAAATAAAGATGTTTGCCTTTTCTGCACATCCATCAGCAATTCAATCAGCCACAGGACATAACCGCATAAAATCCATATGAAATTGCAACTAAAACCTTAAAATTAATGCATCTAGGCCGAATGCCAAATATAATCACACAGTTAACAAAACTGCAAGCTGCTCCTATTAAAAGAAAATCACAAAGATATGTTGTGAGCTGGATGCTTCTACTGTCTGCAGCCTAGAGTCTTTGTAACACAACATAGATTATTAACTCAAATACTGTACCTTGGGTAGAAGCTTAATAATCTGTTTCATTTCTTCCTCAAAGTTTGCTTCCAAAATCCTATCAGCTTCATCAATTATGAGGCACTGCAAGTCCAAGAGAACAATCAAACTAAGGATCGTCAAATGATGTGATTGTTGTGATACAAGCTTTCATCTCAATCAAACATATGTAGCTCAACCACACAAACAAGATAAATTTCGTCTCTAACACAACAATCAAAATTGCAAAAGGACTCCAAACTACACTCCAGTATCTCAGCCAAAGGATTAATAACCACAAAGAATATTCAAAAGTCAGGGAAACATTACGGAGAATTTTCTTTCAATAAGAAAGCCATCTGAAGCAATATGCAACATTTCAGAAAATAACCAGTTGCAAATACTTTTGAAAAAACTACAACAAAATTGCCGAAGAATAGATGAGAATGACCTTCAAGTTCTTATATATGAATCCCTTGGTATTCTGGAGATGGTCAAGAAGTCGACCAGGGGTTGCAACCAATAGATTTACTCCTTTTACAAGACGTTCTGCTTCACCTCTCCTAGCTGCACCACTGATAACCAAGTCAACGGCATAGGTCTGAATTATTTGAAAGGAAAAGTAGTCAGGGTAGAAAGAAGGGAATCAACTGTAAATCTCAGAATAAAACAGCATAACAAGTAATAAAGCACAATTTCTTTCATCTTAAAAGGCATAAATTTTTACACACACATTTCCATTTTCGGCTTCATTATCTTTAGGCAAAAATTAAATCTTAACCTAGATACGTCAAATTTCTTGAGGCATCAAAAATATGTGTTCTTGAATTGGAGCGAGCTCAATATAAGAAGAATGTAACATTTCAAAACAAATAACGAGAATATGCCAGGGTTTCTCACCTGAATTGCAAGTTCCCGTGTTGGGCAAATGACAACAACAGCCGTTCCATTACGAGGAGTAAACTTTGTGTGATATATCAACTCCAAAGCTGGTATAAGAAAAGCTAGAGTCTTCCCGGATCCTGTCCTAGCAGCTCCGAGGACATCTTTTCCGATCAATAGTGATGGGATTGCTCTGGCTTGAATCAGCAGGTGTAAATCTTTTCCGAACAATACTATAAAAGGCCAAGGCCTTGATTATTAGAAACTTATAAACCCTGTAAATTAGGAGCTAATAAAATCAAGTTCAGCCAGAAAATGTACCTCAGTCATATACTGAAAGTTGAGTTCCTGAATGGCCTTTAAAGTGTTGGCAGACAAATTCACTGAACCAAAGGAGTCTGTGCTCATAATTCCAGACCCTCCACCACTTTTGACCTTCTTCTTCCTCTTATTCTCCTCCTCCACCCCCTCTCCCTTCATTTTCTTCGTCTTCTTCTCCTTCTTATTGTCATCATCACCTTCTCCTTTCTCCTCTTCTTCGTTTTGTTGGGCCTGATAAGGGTTTCGAGGCTCTGATTCTTCCGATGGTTTCTCCCCTCTCTTTCTCTTGTGCGTCGTCTTCTTAGTCTCGTCGTCCGGAGATGCGTAACGGATTGGGTCTGTCATGGCGACTAGTTCTCAGACGCTGAGGAATAAGATGAGCTCTCTCGCAGAAACTCTGAGAATGCAGCTGTGAATTGAGGGTTTAAGTTTTTTTATTTGGTCAATATGAAGGTTTAAGGTTTGACCGGTAATCCCTAAGCTAAGCCAACCGTGGTGGTGAATAGTCTGTTTGGGTTTGGGCCCACCCGAATTCCACTTAAAGGATCTATTTATCTCCGCCCAATTAGCAAAGGGCCGTTCCGTATCAGAAATACTTTTTCCCAGAATTCTCACCCTTCCGGTCCGCCGAAAGAAAGAGTTATACAGTGAGTCTAGAGACTCGAGACTCTCAAACAGGTACTGGGCGAACCAAGAAATTTTAGCTGCTACAGTCGGTATAGTGGCTGAGATGCAGCAGCAACAACGACAGTTGGGTTTTGAAGAATCATCAAATATTGGTAGCAATAGGGGGAGTCTATTGATTCGTCACCTTCCAGAAGCCATTCCTGAGGAGACCCTGTTTCGGCTATTGTCCCACTATGGTGCTTCTTCTGTGCGCTCTTGCTCTGCTACTGGCCGGTCAGTGCTCTCTTCTCTTCCTTTTCAATTGGTTGCCTCTCTCTGTTTCCTTTTGCCCTCCTCACTTTTGATCTGTGTATATGACTGTAGGTTGAGGAACTGCGCATTTGTGGATTTCCAAAATGAAGGCTTGGCTTACCAAGCACAGCGTCAGTTGAACGGGTAATGCCATATCTCTTTTACTTTCTTGATTCAAGCAAAAATGTCATATTCTAATGTTCTATTAATAAATGAGTTGGTGGCTGTGTTTTCTTTGTTGGGTAGGCTGAGGTTTCTTGGTAAGGTCTTAAAAGTGGAGAGGGCGACCGCTAATAATGATAAGCCATCGCAGGCTGCTAACAAGGATTCTCTTTCTCTAACCGCCACTTCCAAATCATCTTTGGTCCACAATCCTACCATCAATAGAGATATTCAAGAAACTGAAGTCTCAAGATCAGAGCCCATTGCCCCTAGGCTTGGTGTAGACTATCCCTTTCCTCCTCACCTTGAGTATGTTATACCTTTTCAATTTCTTTAAATTCGTGAGACATGTTTTATGAGTATTACATACACATGTTTTGTCTATTCTTCATGTGATTGTCTGATGTATATTTTCTTTTCTTTTCTTTCTTTTTCTTCTAGAGATTATAAACTATCATCAATACTTGTTACTATATTTTCAAGTATGTTCTGAATTCATATTACAAGAGTTCCCTTGATGATCCTATTGTCTTGGGCCCTTATTGGCCGGAAACGAGTCTCTCTATTTCAACCAAACTATAGCTATCTTAATACAACGCTTAGAAGATATGGTTTGATGAAATGAATGAGGCTACAGTGGCTTAAAGTTTCAGCTTCTTGTTACATAAGACAATAACCCAGTTACTTTTGGCCTCCCTTGACGTATTATCTCATATTGTGGTATGAATGGCATGCTATATCTCTGTTATGAATGTCTAATAGGTTGACATTGCTCTGTTATAAATGTCCAATCTGCTTTTACATAAGTAAATCTTTCATTACAGGTATGCTTACCCGCCACCGGATGGAAATATACTGACCAACATTGTAAATGCTCTTATTGCTGTTCCTCGATTTTATACACAGGTTCTCTCTAATCTCATGCTAAGCTAATGTTACTATATACTTCGGCTCCCTTAATTTGAATTTGTACTTCGTTTTGTCTAGTCAACTAAGCATATTTTTGCGGCCATATCAATTAAGACTTAGAATAATCAACTGTAGGTTTTGCACTTGATGAACAAAATGAATATACCAGCTCCATTTCGTATGGCTCTTCCCTCTCCACCACTACCACCTTCAGTACCCGTGCCACCACCACCTCCCCCTCCTCTAGCTGCAAAGCCTCCCTCGGCAGATTTATCAAGTGAAGAGTCAGAAATGGAGTCTTCAGACGAGGTAACTTCTTGCCTTTAGATTGCTAAACACTCATTAGATAACATTTGTATGTGAGAGAGAGGATAGAGACGAGGGAAAGATATGAAAGAGAAGAGGGGTAGTATGGTTTTATTTAATTATTTATTTAAAAAAACTGAGAACAATTTTAAAAAAACAAACAAACAAAAACCATTTTATTTGGAAACCATTGTTTCTATTCTTTCATTCATCTCCCTCTTTAAAGAACAAAAGAAAATACTGAAAATTTTACCAGACAAGCACCAATGCATCTGGACCACATTGATCATTTCTTTGTGCGTGTACTCTACAAATACCATGTGCAAAGAATACTTTATCCTCCCTAATTCGGGAGATTTAGAACCAGAGGCATGCCAGCTTTTGCTTGCCAGTCCTCAAAAAAGTTCAGTTGCAAATTTTTTCTTTTAAAATAAGTTTTCAAGAAGGATAATTTTAATTCATCTGCATATCTCTTGGGGAAATTATTTCGTGTTTCTCCAATTTGATGTGCGACAAGCAATTAGTTACACTGACTGTTTAATTATTCTAGTTGCTTTATACATTCTTTGAGACTTTGAATTGAATGTTATTAGGAGGTTGATGGAAAACCCTCGAGCGGAACTTCAAGAGGACGGAAGCGTGTCAAACGAGAAGCTATTGTTGGTCCTGCAGTTGATAAAGATGTAGCTCACGAAGATGTTGGATTGAAACCGGCTATTCTGGTCCCTAAAGAGAGGCCAATGATAAAAAAGAAGAACCCTATCGTACAGGTGATTTACTTTTCAAGATGAATGATCGTATTTGTAGTATGATCTCTTATGTTCAAGCAATTTTTGATATATTTTCTTGCTTTGTTGCAGATAAAAATTGCCCCCAAAGTTGTTAACAATGAACATAAAGATGATAGCATTACCAAAGACTCAGAGCATCCAAAAAATGAGAGTTCGGATATTAACTCTTTTGCAACTCCAGAAGAACTAGAAAGAGGAAAGTTGCCTCCAGAAGAAATATTATCGCTGCCGATGTTTAAGGTATCAATATCGAAAATTTTGCTTTATTTTGGTAAAATGAGCATGCGGCACAATCAAATTTACTAATTTCTCTGTGGAAGGATCAGACATGTATTAACCCAAATTCATCGTGTAGTTATCATGATAATATGACAGTCTTAAGATATAATTCAATAAAATTTTAAGTTATTTTTCTTAGTTGTTTTCATAGTATGTTTCCTCGTTTTAGTCACTAGTTTTAATTTTTAAATTTTGTTTTTGTTTTCTGGTATTAAAAACAATAAAAAACATGACTTTATTGTAAAGTTTGTTGCCATTGATTAGCATGAAACCAGAGTTAACTTTTAAAAGTCCATGGCAACAGAAAAGAGGATTTTTGTGTCTGCGGTTAACTTTTTGCAAGCAAACTTGTTTACTATTCTAATTTTGCTTAGTCTGTATTTTGTACCGGGTTGTTTGTGGAATTCAATTGCTTTGTGCCTATTACATATTCTACAAGGTTGGTAGGTGGGGGCTGGCATTCAGAGTCTGAGGAGGTGCCTAGTAGCCAGCAAAAATATATATGAATTTTGAGGAACATTTTTCTTAATAAATATAGCTGACAAAATTAAGATTTAGCTGACTTCCGAAAAAATAGTTTGAAAATCTCATTTGGAGTCTTCAGAACTATGCAGCTGGGAATCCTGCCTCTGTGTTGTATATAAAGAACCTGGCAAAGGACATCGTTGCTGATGACTTCTACTACATATTTGGTGAGCTCACAATCCTGATGAATTTTATATCATTCATTTAATCTTCTTTTACAGCAGGTTTGGAGTCTTAGGGCCTGTTTGGTATTCAACTTGAATCCAACTTTTTAAACTCAAAAACGGAATTTGAGTCCAAAACAAAGAAAACCTGTTTGGTAGCCCTACTTTTAAAAACTCAAACTCAAAAACAACTAAAAAACACCCCAATTATTAAAAACAAAAAATATCTGTTTTTTCAGTTTTTTTTCTAACAACCCGCAAGTTCTCAAATTTTTAAGATTTGAAAACAGTTTTCAAGTTGCATACCAAACAAGTTTTTGAATCTTAAAAATAGATTTAAGAACTCCTTGTTTTTAAGAAAAATCAAAGTTTTTAAGTTCCCTATTTGAATACAATACCAAACGCCCCCTTAGTTTCTTCTACATGTTTTTTGTTTTGAGATTTCTAAGAGTAGACTGTTGAGCAAGCGATTTCTTTACACTTCATTTCTCTTCATATCTCTCTTGTTTTTGGTGTCCAGTCAGGAGATATGGCTCCAATTCTCCTTGTCCAAGAACTGTCAAACTGGTGAACCTTTCTACCTACAGTAATGTTTATATTGTGCTTGTAGGGTCATTATTTGGAAGCGTTGATGCAGCCAAATCTGGTCTCAGTCTAAAGCTTATGCAGGTAAGGTCTCTTGATCAACCTCTATGCTTCCAAGTGAAGCTGTGCATATTTGATTCAGTTTGATGTCTTAAGTTGTTTTTTAGATGCACCACTTTTGAGATAGTCTTTTAAAGTACAATAGCAAACAACATTTTGTTGTCTTTTGTAATTAAGTATGTTGGCGGAGCCTTGCTACTCTTAGTAAAAGGATGCGCAACACAACTGTCAAATGAAGTAACAGAAAATTGTGAGAACCTCTCTTTGTCCATCGACTTCTGACGGACCAGACAAAAAGAGGTGGAAAAAGAGAAGATTATGAGATGTTATGAGCCCAATTTGAGAGGAATATGGGGGACTATAAGGTTGAATGAGACTTTTACCTTGCCTTATGAAGAAAGGATCTCAGAGTCCATTTATAAATTTGAATGCCTTGATGAAGACTACTTGTTGTGAAGATTTCATTCTTTATATATATATTGTCTCTGGCATGATATATATAGTACTGAAAGCCAATTGCAATTTTTTACTGATCTTTGCATCCACATCAAGTGACAGTTTCCTACTTGCATAAGCTGATAGTAATATTTTCATGTCAGGAAGGAAGAATGAGGGGCCAAGCTTTCGTGACATTTCCATCAGTTGAACTAGCCCATTATGCTTTGGTACGTATCTTGCCAATTTCATATAATAATTGTTCTATAATTTAGTACCATGGTGGTCTTGGAGGCTTGCCTGCTAGTTTTATGGTCGTATGGGGCAGGGGGAAGTGTGCTTCAACCTTATGGGGCTGCTTGGTGCAGTCTGTATTTTGGAACATATTGCTGGAGCGTAACGGGAGGATTTTTTATGAGTATGAGGGAGTGGGTGTTGGTGAATTATGGGATAGAGTTAAATTTTGGGCAGCTTTATGGGCTTCTGTCACTTCAGATTTCAAAGACTGTTCTTACTCCACTATATTGAGGGATATGGCTGCTGCTGTGATGTGAAGTGTTTGTTTGCGTCTGTTTACTTTTTAGCTTTTTGCTGGATCTTGTTCGATTCTTTCTGGCTCGCTTCCTTTGGTCCTTTTGGTGTTGTGGACTCTATGTAGTTTGGCTGGTGCCTTTGTTTTAGTGTGTCTGTTTCTGGTTCTGGTTTCGTCTGTTATTATGTTGTTGCTCGTTTGTCTTGTGGATGCCTTATCCACTTGTTGTTCCTTTTCGGTTCTTTCAATAAATTTTGTTTCTATTCAAACATAAATATATATATATATATATATATATATATA